CTAAAGAATCGTTAGTTTTCTTATTAAATATTTCCGTCTTATAAAATCATTCTAATGTGGAAGAAAAAAATTAGAAAAGTTTAATTATTTTCGTAACAATTATGAAAAAAAATAGTTTTGGAGGCAAAAATATAAAAAATTCATCTACATTTCCATATTTTTTTTTTTTTAGGAATATATGATAAAGAATATCCCCGTACATTTTAAGACGCTCTTTTTAATAAATGTTAAATGATAAAGATAGATATGTAAAAGTTGAGAGATTAATTCGAAATCAATTTTTGACAAGTAAAATTAGACTTCCAGGATTCGTTGAATCAGTAAATAGCGGTTGTATAAAGTCCGTAGAGAGACATCAAAGCGACATTAACATTAATTGGGATGCTTTATTCCAGTGTTAGAACTGAATTAACAAATACAATTCGTCTTTGTTGACATCTGATCCGGAAATATAAATATCGCGTTTTCCAGCAACAAAAGTATAATTTTGGAACAAATTTTACAAAAAACTTTTATACTGTTGTTCACATCTGGGAGATCTTTTTTTTCTTCCGAATTTATGGTCTTTTTTATAATCGTTATTTCTGTCCAATCGGACCATATGGACTTTCTTTTTTAGTGATTTGATCGGTGATATGCATCCGTGCGAGTCCTTGATAAAAAAAATAAAATATATAAGCAGTACATGTATCTAGAAATTCCTTTAAGTTATTTATTCAAATAATTTATGGAGTGGAAAGAAAATGATTACATAATTTAAGGAACAAATTATGCATTTGACATTTATCGTTTCAAAATGACATTATTATGATTATTGATTTACGCACTTGTTTCCTGATATATATCAATACATTTATATTTATCTGTATCACGTCTGTATCGTAAACATAAAACAAAGGATTCGTTTCAACATTATCAAGGGCGTTACCACTGTATATGAAACCTGCTTCTTCTATGACAAATTGTTGTTCTGTTGAAAAATCAAACAATCTCTAAATATTGATTTAATAAGGTATTACCAGTATTTACTTTTCGGATAGTAAAAACGCTTGTTCTATTCCATGGAAGATTTAGCATCAATTTATTCCTAAGATATTGAGTAGAAGAAATTTTCAATAAATTTACAAAGATTTAATTCTGACAATTTTAATTAAAAGTGGAAGCAAAGCGAATGGAATGGAAATAAACATACAGTATTTCCATGAATAAAGATTTCTATTAACACACTTAACACATTACTCTCGAAATAATCATTTATAAGCTTCCTATAAACGAGGATCAAACATAATAACGTCAATATTCCCTATGGCCCTATGGTATAAAGTTTTTATCAAGTTTAATACTGCAAACTTGAGAAATCCTTTTTATGCGATGATGTCTAGTATCAAAAAAAAGGAGGTTATATATATAAAAAAATTTTTTTTTTTCATGTATAAATTTTTACATTAATTACTTGTTCTTCACTGTCGGATGTCAGATGTTGGTCTACGAAAGGTATTTACGGAACTCTTTCCCGTTAAATATAAATAAAAAAAAAATTCTAAAGTTAAAAAAAAAATTTTTTTTTTATTAATATTGTGAAATGAACTGGTATGTGGGGAATAATGTATGAGGCACGGATAACACGGATATACGATAACTTTAATAACGTATATATAAATATTTGTACTTATCCTTTTATATTTTGATTTTAGTAAATGAATTCTTTCTTGAACATCATGTATCCTATATAATCCTTATAGACCTGTCATAAATTTGTTAATTAGAGAATATGAAATTAATCACGTTTTACAATAAGAAAATTAAAGGATTTAACTGTTAAATTGTTTAGTTCTTTCGTTATTTTTTTTTTTTTTTTTTTTTTTGTAACGGTCATCGGGAGATTTTCGTAATGCATCAAAAAAAATATAATAGACCTTACTATTAATAGTACCTATTTTACATATAATTATTTATTTTGAATGTAATAAATAAAAGTCTTAATTTTGTCTTTTAGGTGCGTTTTTTGGAGGCTATGAATGTATTATCAAACAAAAAAAAAATTCATTATACGAAAATTGTTTAGAAATATTGATAAATGATTGCTAGTTATATTAAAAAATTGTCCTCTTCAAACTTTAATTCTTGCCAGCAATGAAGTAACATTGAAAAAATGATGCATTTTTTTTTTTTTCTTGCAGTTTTTAATAATTGATTAAAGAAAATAAATAAAGCCTCCTCTTTCAACGGATTTGAATGATTCTCTTCCCGTTTTTGGTTTCATTATATGCAAAATTACATTATCTTCATTGTATAATGTATGTGAAACAAAGCTTCCGGAGAAGAAAATTCCTTTCCGCCCAATTTTTTTTAGTCGATGAGATAAGTTTTTTATCTAACCTTAAAAGAAATCCATGAAAGCAATTTCAATGTGCATCATTGTAATACAGTGAGTGGACCTGAGAAAACTCTGAGTTAATGTTAATTGAAATTTAATTATTTAATTTGTAACACGAAACGCCAATAAATAAATTAATTCGAGTAGTATGACGTATGAGAAAAGCAGGAGTAACAATTGTGTTTCGCACCTTTGTCTTACATAAAGCTGTGAGACGAATTCCGAGTAAATGATTAACGATAAAAAGGACTTTATTTTATTTTATTTTATTTTTATTTGAAATCGCTGATATCGCTAAATGAAATAAATATTTACGAAAATGTTTTTCATAGATGTTTCCAATATGCTTAAAGATAATTTCCGATACTGTGTCTAAATTCGAAAATCGGTAGTTCTTGTAAGGATTCCTAAAAGAAGTTTACAGCAGGCTGGGCGTATATGTTGAAATATATGTGTGTATACTCTATATATATTTACGCGATAAACACGTGTTAATTAAGATATATTTCTTTATATTAACAAGAACAATACTAATTTATTACATAACAGGATAGCACCACATAATACTAAATATTTAATTTACAATATTCAGATCTTAAAAACAAAGGAAAAAAGAAAAAGAAAATAATCTTAACCGAGTGATGCAAAAGATCGGCCGTTGGCGCCTACATTTCAAATAAAAAATGAAAGCAAGATTCAAAAGATTCTATTTATAGAATTTAATATCTCCTCATTAGAATACTATTATAATTATTTATTGATATGTTTATAGGAAATAAATTAAAATTATCGATACGTTATTACCAAATCCCTTCTCATGTCTCGTATTTCGCAGGTTATTTAACGTGCTTGTTGTGCATTTTAAAGAACGGAATAAAACTTTACTTGAAGCTTTAAAGTTTGATTGTTAATCAGTGTGCGGAACAGTGCTTCATATGATACTATCCTATGGGTGTGTTGGGTGATTTCAAATACGTCATGAAATATTCGATAATTATATATTTTGTATAATCAATGTTGAGGATACAATAATTTAAAATCATTTATTCTTTGTTTTTTTTTAACGTAATATGTCATGATAAAATGATGTACACGGCTTAATTCTAATTAGCCGGATAATTTATTGCCGTTCCGTGCCATATTAAGAAAATAGATTCTTTAGTTGCTGTGATCTGAGGAGAAAATAAAAATTAGTATTACAAAATATAGTATTATGTAAAGTAAACAAGCCAAGTCTCGAAAGACTTAAATAGCTGCTTTATTTAAATATATTCTTTCGCTCGTATTTGTCAATTAAGAAATTTCTATCCATCATTCCATCATTTACTTTTTTTTTTTTTTTCCGCATAGTCAATTAAAACTTGTAAATTTACCAAATGCGATATTTCCTAGATTCTTTATTTTAATCAATGTTTCTAGAAACAATTTGATTTGATTTTACCTTTTTTAAAAAAACATATGGTAACATACCACGAATTGGTTATCATAATGAATATCAAACGTGGATGAACGTCTTCCTGGTGTCACACTCGGAGTTCTGGTTCCCGGTTTTAACCACTTTTGTTTCTCAATAAAATTAAATATCGATATAAAAACTAACACTTGAAGATGAATTAAATATATATATTTTAAGCACGGTGAATGACTTTTCTTTAAATATTCATACAAAACAAATGGTTGAAAATGCAAAAGTCTACATCTTAACCAACATTCGCAAGAAAAGGTTAATGATTTATCCAAGATTATCAATAAATAGACGAGCATAATTTCTGCACACCGAATCCGAATACAGTCGACCCCCCCCCCATATAATCACTCTCCTATAGTCACTCCCCTCTTATAAGCGAATTTTTGTCAGGCCGAAGTAAATAATAAACTTATTAAGGAATACTCCTCTATAGTCACAACGTATAGCTTTTTATAACTAGGAAACGGAAACCGTTGTAAAGCCCGGAGTTTTTCTACTAATTACAGAGATGGAATGGTAATATCGTGGACAACTAGGTCATGTAAAGTTACTATTTGGAGTTATGAACTAATCACACTGAATCAAAACGTCAAGCGAGCGAGCGGTCATCCGGACATCTTGAATCATACTGCGTAGATATTATATGGACCTTTGCAATAGAAAAGGGGAGAACGGCTGGAAAAAAATAAAAATTGAGTTAATGCTAAATCTGAACATATTTTGACCTAAAAATCATATTTGGCATATAAAACTAAAATTGATTTTTTCCGGCTGTTTTCCCCTTTCTATTGCAAAAGTCCCCGGCCAATTACCAATTTTTGGTCTCGAGGGATGTGACAACGCTAGCCTTTCCAAGTGTGCACCTACAAGAGTATCGGCCTGGCATGATTGAATAATGGCTTACGAACTTTATTGAGGAACTTCTTTTCTCCCGCTCATTATTGCTGGTCTTGCTATTTTATTAATAAACTTGAAGAAGTCCTTCACTTTATTTCAAAAAAAAAAAATTTAATTAAAGTAATTAAATCCTTTTTTTGGTTTATAAATTTAAATTACAATCTTTGAAGGTTTGCTTTCGACACAATCTGTACGGAATTGGGCAAAACGAGTATGAAACACAAACCCCGAAATTGAAAATTCTTGGATTTCTCTTGCCTACCTCAATTTCTTTTTCTTAATTGAGGTACGGAATTGGGCAGAACGAGTATGAAATACTAACCCCGAAACTTGAATTCTCTTGCCTACCTCAACTTCAACCTCTCTATGCTCGAATTGTTGAAGTTTATTTTTCTTGACGGCTTGCTTAGGATTTCAAAATGCGGATAAAATACGAATGGATCCTTCATTTACTTCTCTGGAAAGACTTTAAAATTGTTGAAGATTAAAATTTTAGCACAAAAGTTTTCCACACTTCCGCCCAGAACAGACTCTTCATCACAACCGAATTTTGATTTTGAAAGTATGGAAAAATCAACTTGGTCGCATCCCATCGTACCTTAGTAATTTCACTCGCAGGACTGATTAGATTTTGAATATTTAGATTAATCTTTTTATCCCGATTTGTCATCTTTGTTTATTATTAAAAAAAAAAAATTTTGAAAAAAAATGTCCGGACCTTTTTTTTGATAAATTTCCTCCTGCTATAGCTGTACTTTAAATTCATGTTCATTAGATAAGAAAACTTATAAATTAGGAAAGTGGATAATTTTGGACAAATTAATTATTTTAATTATTTTAATTATTTGAGATGATTAGAGAATAATGCGGTTACTGACAATAAAATTAGACACAGAATATAAATAAATCTCGATGATAAAAAAAAAAAAATTTTTTTTTATATTTAATTATTTCATCAAATTTCCGCATGTTGTTTTTTCTCGCAACTATTAATTTGTTACACAATACGACAAACACAAAGAACCCATGAAAAAAAAATTGAAGGAACAATATATCAAAATATCAATAACACGTTTTTTTTTTTTTTGAGAGCGAAATTCATTTAATAAAATCTAAAAACATTTTAGTTAAATCCGAAGTTGTGCACCCGGGTATCTCACCCAAAGGATCTTTTTTTTTTTTTTTAATCATTCAATCGCGCCTGTTTGCAATTTCCAACAACAAGCAATAATCACTTCTTCTTAATTACGGATTCTTTTTATATCTTTGATTTTTACTAGTTATAAATCATTAAAAATATTTGCTTTTATTATGAACTAATTGTTAATAATCAATTAATGCATAAGTTCATGAACGAACCCTTTTTTGAGTTAGTATTTCACGCGATACACATGATTCTTGATTTTTTTTCACAGGTCGGACACTTTTTATCTTAGAAATCTCCTAAGATAAGTAGCTAGATCTTTTATAATCTGGTAGTCTAATATCGGCAGTTTATTAATATAGGTAAGTTTAAACTCTGTCATAACTGCATTCACAACAATAAATAAAAAAGATTTTGTGAACGAATCCCATGAGGACTATTTTATGCAAAGAATGATAGAAGTAAGTACATTAGAGTTTGAGATTACAATAATCACTTAAAAAAAAATTTTTTTTTATTTATTATATACAAGTAATAAAAATTTAATCTATCCATATGCAGTTACTTAAGTTATTTGTGATATTTTTTATATAAATAGACACAGTTTCCCATGCTTTTATGTTTTTTTTTTAATACTACTATTATTAATAATATTAATAATTATCATTATCCTTTATATATAAAACAAATAATACTAAAATTTCATACGAAAATGCAAAAAGAAAATAAATTTAATAAAGTGATACGTCGTAAACATCTAAAAAGGCTAAACAAACCCTTTGATAACTCGGAAACAATAAATAGGATTTTGGCCCTCCCTCCCCAAATTATCGAAAATGACCCTTTGGTGTGTCAATTTTTTAACGGTTCAAACTTCAATTAAACTTTCTTGATGAAAGTTGAAGATTGTTGGCAAATACTGCAACCGTTAGGTAAGAAGCATTTATGTAAGATAAAAATCAAAATTTATTTTTTTTATCGCGTTAATGAACTAACAATTACTACGTGTAGATCTCTGTTTGTGTAATATACTGTATAACTTTATTTATTACATGTATATATATATGCAAATATTTATTTTTATAGTAAAAATACTATTTTCTGTTTTCTTAAACCGAACTATGACTTATTTTTATGCTTAAATGAATACTTAATAATCAATCTATGTGCTTTTATTTATTTTATATGTATGATGTATCATCAAAAACAAAAAAAAAAAATTTTCTTTTATATTCTCTAGCGTTAATATCACGGTTAATAAACGATTAAAAAGAAATTTGTTAATAAATTCTCTTTGACAAAATTTCGTTTAGTTGGTTATAAATTTTTAGTATTTGTATCTATGCTGTGATTAATAAAAGAAAACAATTATAAAACAATTACCATTATGATTAATTTTGATAACCCTTTCAAATTATAGAAATGATTTACATTCAATATTGACATCATTGTCGGAAAATTTCTTGCTTATGAAACAATATCATTCAAAACAATTGATTATAAATTCAACCTTAAAATTATGCTTAAAATTTTGGAACTTGGCAATTCTGTTCATTTTCAGGACCGCGAATGATGAAATCTTATGTGATTTTTAGTCTACAATAAATAAATGATCGATAATTTAATATTATAAAATTTATTAAATTTAAATTTCAATTTAAACTTTTTGTTATTTATATCAATAATGAAATAAGAATCTCGACACAATTAGCGTCTGAGTCATAAACTGAAAATGTTTAATGTCCAATAAGTCGACTTCCGAGTTCTAGGTTCAAGATATATTAAAAAATATTATGTATAATTTACGACCAGTTATTAGAATTTTAGAAAGTTTATAACTTGTTTATTAAGATTGACTAAAGACGCAGTAGCAAAAAATCGTACGCGCTATTACTATACTTTCTATCTTCTTATTTCTCAATATTTTTATGTTCTTTTTTATAAATTTACGAAAACGGTCTTTACATAGAAAAATTTTAAACCGATCATTATTAATTATTCAAACGGTATACAATCGGTGCCCGAACATATTGAAATGCGTCAACAGTAACATTAAAGAGCCCGATTTTGTATCACGTCGCCTATCGCTGGAAATATTGAAAAAACCACGGTAATGTGTCACATTTTCTGATTGGTCGACAATCTTATCACTCTGATTGGTTATCTATATGTCACATGATCCTCATCACATGTCAATAGCCGTGGTCTAAATTTGTCCATCACCCAACGCGGTAAGACGGAAAGTAGTATAGTAGGATCGATCAACTGAGTATAGTATGGTTCGTAAAGTGTTGTTGAGTATAGAGTATAAATTTTATTAGACTCCGTTGTATGTATATAATATTTAATTGAGTATTGTATTATTAAATGTTAATATACTCAACTACTAAATAGTAAAAAATCAATCACGCGACATGATTAAGAAAATCAGCCAATCAGAAACGAAAAACGATGGTAACCAATCAGAAAAATGAGGGAATTAGCAAGCCTGCCGGTAATAATAGACTCACGCCAGTACCGGGTGTTATTTGGATTAGAGGTCAGGTTCGATATTTGAAGTTATGGATACGACAGTTACCTGGTCTTGTAGTCATATAAATACTGCAGCGATAAAGTCTGACTAAAACTCAGTAGGTTAAAATCTACAATAGGGTATTACAAATGATTGGGTATGAAGTGCTGTAAGTGAGACATCTATCCAGATTTGACAGTAATTCCTAGAGGTCTAGTTAAGCTGATTCGGGAGTAAGGAGTGAACCATATACTAGATGCAGCCGTCAGGGTAGTGAATTGTGTTGGTTGCGTCAAGATACTACTAAATTGAAATAGGTACATTGAGGAGACTCAGTCAACAGGACAACAAAACATCTTCAGTCATAGCTCAAAAAAAAAAGTAAGTTCGTAAGGAATGAATTTGCTATGATAACGTATGATAACGGTAAGTCCAATCCGAGGCGTTGGTGAGAAAGAACCCATATCAAGTAACCCATATCAGATATATCATTACAAGCTTCGCTCTTTCCAATATCGTTGTTCCATGAATTTGACAAATACCTGAATTGCCCTCATTATATTTACATTTTTTAAAAAAACCATCCTTTGTAGATCCTGATTCTTACATGGATATAGTAAATTTGAAATGTGGGAATTCTGTTGGCACAACATTGTTCTCTTTCCGGGTTATTTATTACAGAAAAAGATGTTTCAATCTTTTATGTCATGATATTTTAAAGGAGCTACGTCAAGAGTTACAGACACATTTACTTGCCCAGGATGATGGTAAATAATACTCATATCTTTAATTATTTTGGAGTGTCTATAAATTATTCAAAATGAATTTTACTAAAAAGAACAGTTGAAGCAATATTTTTTTTCACGTTGTTATTTGAAAATGACTTTTTGTGATGTAATGACTACATAATAATTTTTTATTTTGGTTGAAATCCTATTACTCACGTAGTTATTTGGTTTTGAATGTAATGAAGGAAGAAATACTTATTACAGCCACATCTTGCTACATACAACTAGCATACATAGAGTTAAAATTATCCACATTTTAAGGAAAAAAAATTCATTTTTGTCGGAATTCAGTTCATATATATATAAAAAAAATAAAAATGACGATTTGATACTTAATATGGTTAACATGGATAAATTGATAAAGCATTTTCTTTGTTTTCTTATCTTGTATCATACAGATTCCTTTCCTTAAATGATTGTAATATTTCTTAGTCACATGATCCTGAAATTAATTTAGTTATTATAACAATCCTATTACTTTTTTGACTATAAAATTCATAATGAGTTGAGTTGAAAATTTAAAATCTCTCATACTTTATTAGCAGCGCCTCCTATATTGGCACAGAAGTTAATAATTTTTTTATATCGCAGTATGGTAGTCAAAGTATCACAGCATATTTAATTAAGCTCGAAATTATTTATAGATTTCAAATTTAGCCGTTACATTTTTGTTTTTTCGATGTGATGTTACACAATTCTTTATATTGAAATCCTACCGATCTTTATCAAAAGAAAAATTTTCTTTAGT